AGCTGCGGCGTAGGCCGCCCAGCCGCTGGAGCCCCGCTCGGTTCAGGATGAGTCATGCGTGACCAATCCCCTCCCCGCCAAGGGAGAGCGAGACACACACAGCGAGGCGGCGACCCAGAGGCACACACAGTCCTGGGGACGCGCAGAAACTCGGGGCTGCCGGCGGAGACCGCGGCGCGCGGACGTACAAAGGCCCCGGCCCGGCGCTCCCTCGGCCCCTCCCTCGAAGGGCGCCCCCAGCTCTCAGGCGCGGCCCCGGCCACAGGTACCAGAGGGACCCGTGCTCACATGCCACCAGCGAGACGGATTCCGTATAAGGTCGCCCACGATGCCCTGTGGGTGCAGTCCCACGTCTGGCACATCTGTGCACGGGCTGGGGCGAATGCCTGCCCCCCTCGCTCAGGAGCGCAGGCACCCCACCCTCACACACCTGCCCAGATGCCTCTGCTCCCTAACAGCCAGGGAGCGCACCAGCTCCTGACCGCCGAGTGGGGCTGGGCCGGTCCCCAAGAGCGTTCTCGGCGGGGGAAGGTGTTCCCCTGAATTCTCCTGGGAGGGATTGTCTGGGACATCTCCCTGCCCTTCAGGATGTGCTGAGCCATCCAGCCTAATGCCCCTCTTACTTTCTCTGTGGTTCGGCTCATAGAGAGGTGGGGAAGGCAGGGAGGCCCGGGCATTTAGCTAGGACACAACAGCCCCCAAACACACAGACACAAAACTCTCAAAGGCAGGACCTTGCACAATGAACACCCTGCAATATACACACACAAGTGAACATTCACAGCCGCAGCCCCCTTCTCCACACACACACATACAGCCTCTTCTAAAAACAAATATGCACAGACTTAGACCCAGCCCTATGGACACAAGACACCTCACCTCCCGGCCATCACACATGCTATTACCTCCCTAATTACCCTCATTTACAAATGTAAACACCCACACAAGTCTTCTTACACTTGTACACACATCCACACTCAAGAGAGCACAGACTCACTCCCACAGTGCTTCCAACAATGTAAAACCTCCTGTCCTCTGCTCAGACTCCCACAGATACTCACACACATCCCTACACATGGCGAAATAACCATTTATAGGCAGAAACAGCCTCCACACCTCCGCAGACACAGGATTCCCAGTGGTCACAGTCTGTCACGCACACACACAGGCACATTCTAATGGACACAGGCAGACAAGTGTATCTGCACAGCAGCAGCCCCCAAAGATACAACTATCTGCTCCTTTCCAGGCACCAAGGTACACAGAAACAGCCTCAACCCCAGCCAAAGGCATCTCCCACCCCCTGCATCCCTGCATTCCAGTCATTTATTGCTCTCAGACACAGGAATTCAGAGTGAAAAGTTTCTCTCTGAACCCTATAATCGTTTACGCTAAGAGCACAACTGCAATCTGAAAGCTGGTGAGGTGTGTGCATTTATACATGCATGTGCACACATGTACACATGCACTTTCAAACATTCAGATAACCACAAACAACCTATTCCCCCTCAAATATCTCTTTTGCACATAATAAGCCCAGTTACTGCTTCTGGGTATTTTAATCTGTGACAGGTGTGGCAGTTTACAAGGATGGCTCCGCTTCCTTTTAGCAATAACCTTATGAGAGGTAGTGTCTCTTATTGTACTGATTTTACTGATGAAGAAACTGAGGTTCAGAGACAGCCCATGATAGGTCCAAAATGGTGCCACATGGCTAATGGCCAGGGCCAAGAACTCAAAGTCAGGTTCATTTGACACCAGAACTTATACTAGAATCCTAGGCTGTATACACGACCAGGTCCACTCTGCACACACACACAGGTGTGCACAATCACATTACAAAAATGTTTTTTCCAAAGACCTGGACATGACTCCTAGCCTCACCATTTATGGGCTAAGTTTCTTTTCTCATCTGAAAAATGAGAATAATGATAGTATGACCTTTATCTCCTTCCCTTCCTCCCCTTCTGGGTGGCTGGGGAAGCCGGAGGCCATTGAACACCATACAGGGCTGCACATCTGCCAGATGTGTGAGTGCAGAGGACTCCAGAAGACCAGGAGGAGGATGCTGGCCTTGCAAAACTTCCCAGGCAACAGGTGTGGAGGAGGCTTGAGCTGAAACTAGAGGGCAGAGGAAATTGGGTAGATTCGGGGGGGAAAAGGAAGTATTACAGGCAGAGAGATGATTGCAAAGCTCCAGAGGCTGGACAAACAGGCGGTGGCACTTCTGTGAGAAGGAACGTGAAGCATGCACTCTCTGAATGATAATAGTAATAACTACCGTTCGTTGAGCATTGATGTGCCAAGCACCGTTTTACCTGCATTTCTCTTTAACCCTCACAGCAACCTTGCAAGAATGTTATATTATTATAACTATTTTAGAGTTGAGGAAACAAGCTCATAGGAGCCTCATTTCAAGCCTTAGCACTCAGACTCCAGAACCCAAACTCTTACCTGCTGTTTATCTCTGCTCCTGAATTCTGATTAGAGGCTCAGAAAATCCAAACTGGAATGAGAGGCGTTAAACTCAGCAAAGGCTCTGGAGCCAGGCTGCCATGGTGCCCATCTTGGCACTGCCCTTTATTACCAGACTAACCCTGTGCAAGTGATTTAGCCCCTCTTCAGTCAGTTTCCTAATCTGTAAAGTGGGGGTGGTAACGGAGCTCGCTTCTTATGCTTGTAAAAATTAGGCAAGTGATGCATGTAAAAAAGGGCTCCGAGTCATCCCCGGCACACAGAAAGCAACTAATAAATGTTAACCATCACTGCAGCTGCCGACCAGCTGCATTGTCCAGTTGTTATTCTATTAGATGCCACTTCAAATATTTTATGGAGGAAAGCAGGGCATAAATCAA